TAAATGAAGAGACTGACAGGTAAGTCTCTACATTTACCTGTCACAGCACTCTGATTGGTTAGCTTGAAATCCACCAATTAGAGTGCCCTGTGTCATTTTACACAGCGTGGGAAAGTTCTTTGGAATTTTCCTTTTACTGGGAATCCATAAAAACCATATGTAGAAATATCTGAGCATCCAAAATCCGCTCACCAGTCCTTAAAGTATGCAAGGTGTTTGGTCAGTGAATCACCTCTTCCACTCTGTATCTGGCTGGTCTCGTCGATCTGGATGCTACCAAAGTACTTCCGCATTCCTGGGTCACGTGACGCGTTTCGCCCCTCCCCAAGGGGCTTCCTCAAACGTGTATGAAATGTCCCACTCCTATGTGTCCTTATATATGCCGTGGTATAACCGTGATCCAATCGGCTAATCTTAATATTAATGATCGTCCATATGAATGTCTTATGGCTATTTCACATACACTTAAAACGATTTTGTTAAAAACCACAGCAGTCATATTTAAAGTGCATATAAACATTCAGAAGAGAAATATGATCAGTAAAACTATACCAAATATATTAAATGGCAATAAAAGTACATCTTTATATAGCATGTATATAACTGTGATTTTCACAGTGAGACAGCCACTAGAGGCTGGAACTGCTATATTTACAGCTGCAGAGTTAAAACCTGGGGGACCTGGCACCCAGACCACTTCATTAAGCTAAAGTGGTCTGGGTGCCTATAGTGGTCCTTTAATTTACGGCAGCATCTTGATGAGAATGCGTCCATGATCATGCACACATTCTCATCAAGATGCAGACGAATCCTGACACGGGCACCACGATTTCGCAGTGTGCAGTTCCTTCAGTTAATTCTTTAAAGCAATCTCCAATTTTCTTGCCAACGAGAAGTTTATAGCAGAAATGAATTGTTACATTTTAATACTATATATTTGCTGTCGCTGTTTTCTGCTAAAGGCAATCGTAGGGTGCGATACATATGTTCAGGGTGAGCTTTTTTTTTTTTACTAGCAAGGTGTGGTTTCAATAGAGACAACTTACACAGAGTGTGTCTTTGTGCTTCACCAGCAAGTGGTTAATCTACGTGTGGCTAGTGTCTTTGAGAGTGCACATCATTGGGGGTCACCTGGTAAAATAAAAATAGCAATAAGGTTGGAAAACTGTCAGTAAACACTAGCTACCGATTGTTGCTAATAGCAACAGATAACAGCAGCTGGAAAACGTGCCCCGTACATTTAAAGTTGAAAAAATATATATATATTTCCCAATAACAGGATGAGGACGTGTAATAATATCACCATCTCACAGGCAAAATTTTCTATCACCCATTGATACTTCCTTAATGGTTTGGAAGAAGGGGGGTGCTGACATTTTCAATACACTTGCACCCATTAAATGAGAATCTAGTGGCTCTTGGAAGAGAAATGTATTCCCTCACAGGTATCAGGTAATCATTCCTAGAGTATAAATTAAGGTGAGTTAGGCTTTATGGAGTAAATAGCATTCTGCAAAGTACCTGAAAGTAAAAATGTTTATACTCAATTTTGGTAGCAAATGGGTTAAATGGCATTTTCCTATAGTTATCCGGAAAGACTAATGTCTGCGTCAATGTCAGATTTTTGTAACTCGAAAAATCCACTGCAGTGTAAACACTCACATGTAAAAATACAATAATATGTGAGTAAACAAGTGCCTTAACCCCTTAAGGACCAAACATCTGGAATAAAAGGGAATCATGACATGTCACACATGTCATGTGTCCTTAAGGGGTTATAGGACCACTATAGGCAGGCAGACCACTTCAGCTTAATGAAGTGGTCTGGGTGCCAGGTCCAGCTAGGATTAACCCTTTTTTCTATAAACCTAGCAGTTTCAGAGAAACTGCTATGTTTATAATAGGGTTAATCCAGCCTCTAGTGGCTGTCTCATTGACAGCCGCTAGAGGCGCTTCCGCGCTTCTCACTGTGATTTTCACAGTGAGAAGATGCCAACTTCCATAGGAAAGCATTGCGAATGCTTTCCTATGAGACTGGCTGAATGCGCGCGCGGCTCGTGCCACGAATGCGCATTCAGCCGAGGAGGAGGAGAGGTTGAGGAGAGTCCCCCGCCCGGCGCTGGAGAAAGAGGTAAATTTAACCCCTTCCTCACCCTATAGCCCAGCGGGAGGGGGGCCCTGAGTCTGGGGGCACTCTCAGGGCACTATAGTGCCAGGAAAACATACTGGCACTATAGTGGTCCTTTAAGTTATTGTAAATTATATAGACAAACAAACAAACAGACAGACAGACTGATAAATACCACAAACAATATACTGTGCACCTTTGTTTAGATGGTGTGAGAGAGATTTATTAAAGTGTCTCAGACAGTTTTGCACCTTTTTCTTTAACATATATTTTTGCACTGATGAAAAGATCTGTTAAATTCTTTTTGTTTCATTTCTCTTTTCTTATTTCCGCCATTCTAAAAGTGAGGTTTTTTTTTCTGAAATGAAAAATTGTGAAATTTAAGCAGAAAGAAAAAACAAAACCATTTTTAGACCATCTTTAAAACATTTTTAAAAATACAAACAGATTAGAGACGGTGGAGACTTTCCAGAACAATTTAAGAAATCTCCCCTTTTGTGCGTGCTTTAATTTGTTTAAAGTTTGACAGTTCTCCCAAATACATCCTTACTGTAAAGCAACATATATAGTATCATGATCATTTACACACCATGGAAATTGCACTACAGAATTTATTCATCTCGTTTTCTGGACCTGCTATTGGCCCTAGATAAACAAAGGCCCTCCCCTCTCATATGTTAGGCAATAACCCGAGACAATAAGGGACTCTAAGAGCTAATCAAACACTGATATGTGCTTATTAATAGTGTGTGCTTAGGAACTGTATCACTGGGTAGCCAAGACAAGAAACTGGAATGGTCACATTTGTTACGGTAGCAAACCAGACAAGGTAAGCATTAGTGTAAGCATACTTGTATTTGTTCTAGTAGTCAGATGTGAAATTTATATCATCTGTTCAGACATGGAAAATTACAGCCACAAATCGTACCACCATCAGATTAGGAACCAAAGTAAATCTGGGGAAAACAGCATTTTATAGCAAATATGCACCCTCTAAAGTACATGTTAGAACACGCAGTTTTCTATTTAAAAAATCAAATAAACCAATACACAATCACTGGGGATGCTGTTGGTATAATGGGGTAAAATTTTATCTAAACTCACCTGTTAAAATATATTAAAAAGTCAATTATTATTCAAAAAAGGTCTTTGCGTAAATGTTTCTGCTTCTTTTTGTTGAAATTTAATTATTTAAAAGCTATGTAAAGAACCATCTTCTTAAAAATATGTGTTGTATTTTGGTTTTATCATCTCTCTTAAACTGTAAAACATTCATCCCCCACCACATCCCCCCACTTCCTACATCCATGCTTAGGATATAGAGATTTTCCATATTTAACAAATTTAGGACATTCTAATGTATTTAATAGCGGTAGGTAAAATATTTCACTGTGTTTATCAGTCCAGTCAGGCAAATTATAGATTGCTATCTAGTTTGTGAATGTAAATCGTTTGACGATGAGCATCTTGTACGCACTCCTTGTCACCACAATGGTTGACCTGCTGGTCTGGTTAAAAAGTGTGAGCAATTAAGCACGTCCACTTGGGTTGAACAGTGATCCAAATAAAATACAGATTACAATATAAACAAGTAAAAACGCTATTGAACTTATAAAAGCAAGTAAAATGCATTGTGGGTCACAGCAGCAGTTACATCATTTGTCAGGGTTTAAAGGGGTGTAATTTATAACTAGTCAACTGTTATAATGTGTAATAACAATATCAATTATAATAGAGAAATAATGGCCCACAGACAGAAAACGAATTATGCTGTGATAATCATTAGCTATTGTGTAGCACTCAGGAAATCTCTGACTAAAAAGAGTTACTCTGTAAAAATTGGCAATATATGTTTTAATGTAATGTACAGATAATTACAAATATACAAAAATAAGTCCTGCGCTCAAACTTGATGTGGCAGGTGAGCTTACACTCAGGTGGCCACTGGAGTCATACTAAAATGAGTGCAGGACTTATTTTTGTGTATTTGTATTTACTTTTGTGTCACCCAGCCATGTTACAATGCTGCTGCCCATGTCATGTGTTCTCTAATGTGTGTAGGAGGTTAGAAAAATACCCCTTTCTGTATCACTACATCACTAGGTGAATTGTTAGCGCAGGACTCTGGGCTGGACTGGGAAGAAAATTCGGCCTGGGCATTTTTGCACCACAGCGGCCCACTGAGTAGGGTGCGGAGCCAGAGAAGGGGTGTTTTGTCATCACCAATGACCAACATGTCCCCTCTCAAAGTGAGCATGTTGGTACAATGCGCAGAGCTCTGCTGAAGACCTCTGTGCAAAACATGTATTTGTTCTGCACAGCATAAGCAAATTTATTAACATGCTTGCGCTCAGCGCTGTATTTAGCGCGAGGCTGACAAGGCATTTGCATTGGGCTGCACTTTTAGGGGGGCTGCAAAAAAAGCTGCCCCCCAAATGCCCTGGCAGATGCCTTGTCCCGGCTGGCCATCTTGGGCCCGCTAGAGGCTGGCAGCTGTACGGGTTGGAGACGGGCCGCGAGGGAGCACTCTCCTCCGAGCTGTCCCGACTCAGCTCCCTCGCGCACCGCAGTGATGCCGGAGCCAGAGTATGACGTCACTCCGGCATCACTGAGAGGCGCGCGAGGGAGCTGAGCAGGGAGATCAGAGCTCCCTCATGTCTGCATTGACTGAATGCCCAGCCGCTCAGCCCAGAAGCCCCAGGGAAATAGACTCCATGCCAGCACTCCCAAAGGTAGGGAGGCTGGGTGGAATGAAATTTTAAAAAATTATAAATTGTATGTGTGTCTGTTAGTGAGTTTGTATGTGTTTGTGTGTCTTTGAAAGAGTGTATGTGTGTTTGTGTTTGTCAGTGAGCATGTATATGTGTTTGTCAGTGAGTTTGTATGTGTGTTTGTCAGTGAGAGTGTATGTGTGTTTGTCAGTGAGTGGGTATATGTGTTTGTCAGTGAGAGTGTATATGTGTTTGTCAGTTAGTGTGTATGTGTGTTTGTCAGTGAAAGTGTATATGTGTTTGTCAGTGAGTTTGTATTTGTGTCTGTCAAAAAGTGTATGTGTGTTTGTCAGTGAGAGTGTATATGTGTCTGTCAGTGAGTTTGTGTGTGTGTCTGTCAAAGAGTGTGTGTGTTTGTCAGTGAGAGTGTATGTGTGTTTGTCAGTGAGTGTGTGTGTCTCTGTCAGTGTGTCTGTCTCTGTCAGTGTGTGTGTCTGTCACTGAGAGTATGCCTGCCAGTGAGTGTGTATATGTGTCTGCCAATGAATGTGTATGTCTGTTAGTGAATTTGTGTGTCTGTCATTGTGTGCCTCTGACACTTAGTGGGTGGGTGTCTGACACTGAGTATATATGTGTCTGTCAGTGAGTGTGTATGTGTGTTTGTCAGTGTGTGTCTGTCAGTGAGTGTGTACCTGTGTTTGTCAGTTTGTGTTGGTCTGACTCTGATTTGGTGTGTCTGATTCTTATTTTGTGTGTTTCTGACACTGAGTGAGTGAGCCTCTGTCAGTGAGTGTGCGTCTATCAGTAAGTGTTCATGTGTAGTGGACCACGGGTAACCCGACCTGTTACCTCTGCTAAGTCCTGTTACCTCCGCCACTCTGGAAAATAGCCAAAATAGCCAGTGCCTGACAAGAGTCCCCACCAACCTCAGGAACCCCCACACCAAGTCCATCTATGCGTTTGTCTATACGAAATGACGGCCACCCACAGGAGCACTCATTAATTGCTTCCCTTGCGGTTTCGCACTTATGTTATTGGTGTGAATGTTCTAAGTAATTGGTGTGAACATTCAAATGGGGCACTGGGGTCCCCATTTGGGAGACAAATGGGTTTCATTCATATGAACTCTCCTGAAGGGGAAACAGGGCGCAGTACACGAAACACAAGGGACAATACGGGTTTAGGTGTGTCATGTATTTGTGCGGTGAGCTTGTCCATCTGCTGACTGTCCTGTATTTTTTTTGTGTTTGTCTCTTGTGATGGTGTAACGGATCACCTGGCACCCCGACTGGGTACCTCCATTGAACGATGCTCCTAGCGCTTCCTGAGGACTCCAAGCACTGCAGCAGACACCACAACCACCAAAGTAAAGAAGCATACGAATGCTCTCAAGCATATGAATGCTGTAAGCAGCTGAACAGGAAAAGCATACAATCAGCTTACACTCCTGGCAATCAGCATACAATCCAATTCCCCCAATAACGAGACGACACTTCATTTTGAGGTCAAGCAGAACTGACTGTACTGGCACATACAGCCTCTTTTATTCCCAATCCACAAACCTAGTACTGCCCACAGGGTTTTACAGAACAACCAATAACACACGTACATTACAGAAAACACTCCCAGTAATTATACACACAATACTCCCCTCTGCCTGTGATCTAATTATGGCACACAATGGGTTACCATAATTATCACAAGCAGGAAAAATACAGTTTTTATACATGTGCTATAACTTTAAAAATATACGTCCAATCTTCATACATATTCAGAATCAGCACACTTTAAACATAAACACTCTCAAAAATCAGACAAATCCATCCAGTAGATAAAAAGTTAGCTGGGAGTCCTCTATGAACAACCACAAGCACATTTTCCTGCCCAAAACAGTTACATAGATTTGGGGCTGTGCGGTTGGTCTATTTTACACAGAAAAATGACTAAGTCCCATTCGAATGCACGAACGGGGCCATTCGTGCATTTAGCTTAGTATAGCTTGGAGTTCAAACTGCCGAACGAGACTCTCTGCAGCTGAAAACTGAGTGTAGGAGAAGGTTAGGGTCAGCGGTGTTCGTTGAAATGTGTAGCCGATTTCAGTTCCATGGATTTGGCTACACATACCGCTGACTTCGTTCGAATGAACAAAGATGGCCACGTGTTCATTTGTCGAATGGCGGCCACTTCGACTACTTCGGCACTTCGGCTGCATCCGAAGTGCCAATTTAAAGCTGCAGAACTGCTCCAATACAATTTAAAGGGGCAGCAAGTCTTTTAAAATCCAATCTGCTAAAATAGTCTTTAACAGGCAATATCTTCCAAGGGCCATAGTCTTAAAGGGGCATTGTTCCCAAAAGTCACAGTATGTCCCCAGATGGTTCTTAAAGGGCCAGCAGCCGCATAGTAAAATACAATATGCCCAAATACTGTATTTAAAGGGCCAAATCTCCCAGGGGCCATCGTCAGCAGGCAGGAGGCGGGCAAGCAGGCTTCTCCAATGCCCAGTGGCGAGGTTGGTTTCACCACAGATGGTATGTGGTGAGTGGACCAGACTTCTGCTATCGCTCTGCGAGCGATCAGCTTGTTTACTGTTCTAGTGAAGGTGTTGATGGGTTTTGAGAGTAATAGGGTCCAGGGGGCAGGGTTTGCCCATGATTTTGGCTATAAATGTTATGGGGCTTGCCAGAGGGTTTTTTTTCTTGGGGCAAGTCTACCAGCAGTGGAGGAACGTTCCCGTCTCCCCGCTCCCCTTCCAGTAGAGGTTGGATGCAGTGCAGTGCATGGTGACTATTTGGTGTGGTGTAAGGTACGCTTGCTCCATCCGTGTTACGCATATTATATTGAGGCTATGGCTTCCCAGATATCCGTCCAGTCAGATGTGTCTTCCTGGGGGGCCCAGGTCTGCTTCCCACGCTGCCACGTATGGGAGCGTTATTTGGGTGGAGTGGGTTGCTAGTGTTAAGTAGAGTTCTGATATTTGTCCTTTTGTGGAGGGATGGGTTATGCATTTTTGTTCAAAACTAGTTGGTGGGGCTGTTCCTGCTTGCTGTATGATCGGGGTGGATGCAAAACTGCATATCTGTATGTAGTGAAAGTGGTCAAAGGATGTTAGGGTGGCAGAATCTTTAATGTCTGCGTATTTAAAAATAGCGTTGTCGTGGTACAGGTGACCCAATCTTGATATGTCTCGTTGATCAAAGTGGGCAAAGTGTGCTGGGGTAAGGCCTGGTGGGAATAGTTTGTTTCTCCAGATCGGGGTCATGGGGGATAGAAAGGAGGAGAGCTCGAATTTGTCTTGTAATTGGTCCCATAGGTCTAGTGAGTGTGTGATCAATGGTGACGTGGATGGGGGTAGAGGTCTGTGTGGTTTAGGCACCCACATAAACAAGGGTGGGTGGTCCCAGATGGAAATGATGTGTTCCAGGTCTACCCATCTTTTTTTGTGTGGTTGGACATGCCATTGTTGGATCTGAGTTAAGTGTGCTGTGGAGTGGTAGTGTGAAAAATTTGGTAGTCCCAGACCCCCAAATTTCTTGGGGACATACAGTGTGCTCCTATGGACTCTGGCTTATTGTCCGCTCCAGACGAAGGCAAGTTTCTCTCGTACAGAGTAGTCACGTCTGCTGGTAACTGGATTCCTAGGTAGGGGATGGCTACCAGACAAATCCGGAGGGGGAATCTATGTTTAATACGGACTAGGTCAGGCCTGCTAATTTGTATTGGTAGGAGTTCCGATTTTGCTATGTTGAGAGGAGAGACTACTAGTGGAAAGTCGGGGAGAAAAGGAGACCACTAAGGGGCAGGGGAGATCTCTAAGGAATGGAAGGGAGAGCTCTATAGGACAGGGGGACAGGGAGCTCTTTCACACCACACGCGCACACACACACACACAATGCATCCCTATACACACACAAACACAACATGCTTCCCTTACACACAGAGAAACACACAATACAACCCTTACACATAAAGACAATGCATCCTTTGCACATATACACAGAACACACACAATGCATCCCTTACACACACATGCAAACACACACTGTTTCTCTTACACACACACACAGAAACACAATGCATCTCTTACACACACTCAACACACCCCTTACAGACACACACACTGCATCCCTTACATACACAGAAACATACTTTGCATCCCTTATGCATACAAACACAGATTCACACAATGCATCCCTAACACACAACAAGAAACACACAATACATCCCTTATACACAAACACTCACTGCTTTCTATCCCTTACACAAACAACACTGCATCACCTACACAAACTGGTATCCCTATACACTACATTCCGTAAGCACACACATTAGATCCTCTACAGTAACACATAACACATCCCCTACACACTCTACTCCCTGTGAGTTCATGGGTGGAACATGTAGGTGGCCTTATGGGTGGGCTTTATGGGCATACTCACCGTCAGGCCCTGGGGCCCAGATGAGCTATGTAAGATGCCCCCAAAAATGGAGCTGCTTCCCGTTCTCCCAGAACATTGAATTTTGTGACCACAGTTGCAAACAGCCTCCAGAGATCCTATTCTACACCAGACCAGTGGAGCCAGACTGCAGCCAGAGCCCATCACCATCCTCATCTGATTGTAAGTAGGCAATCTAGTATATTATTAGTGACACTAATCTCTAATTTACCTCACATTAAATGGACACTATAGTCCCCAGAACCACTGCAGCTTAATAAAGTTGTTCTGGTGTCTATAGTTTGTCCCTGCAGGCTTTTTAATGTAAACACACACTGTGTGCAGCACTGGCATTAGTTCATATGGGTGGGGCATTGCGATGTTCCGGAAGGGGGGGGGCAACAAATCTTTCTTTTGCCTAGGGCGGCAAAAATCCTTGCACCGGCCCTGCAAGCAGTGGTCTGTTTAATGAGGGCTACCTGCCCAGTATTTATGCAGGTCTCCCACCTGGTGGACACTCCCCTAGGGGACCAAATGGGAGACTGTGACAAAAGACAGACAATCCGAAAAACAGGACACACAGTCACATTGTATTCCCACAATGCATCCTGGCTTCCTCCCCTCTTCCCTGGAGATAATTGAGAAGTAATATCTGCCCGGACCTCGTGTTCGTTATACGAATGGCGGCCACCCAGTATTTGTCAATTAAGCTGCGGTTGACCGCAGATTCTGGGAGGCTAATTGCCGGCACACTCCAGCTCCCAGGTGGTCTAGTCATTCGTGCGGTTGTTCAGTAGATTGAATCTACCGAACACCGGGCAGAAAAGCACGAATAAGTCTTTTCTGCAGGGGAAACAAAGTCTTTTAACATGGGGTCATAATCCAAAGGCAGCAGGCAAGCAACCAGGCTTCTCCAATGCAATGTGGCGAGATTGCTCTTGTCACACAGTTGATTTAGTGCGTGTGTGTGTGTAGAACCCAGAGCATTTATAAGGGTTCTAGTGTGTGTATGTGCAGATGATACAGAGTTGTGAAGGCAATCTAGTGTGTGTGTGAGTGGTACATTGTGTGTGTCTGTGTGTTAGGGATGAAGTATGTGTGAGGGGTGTTGTGTGTGTGAGGGGTGCAGTATGTGTGTATGTGCGAGGGGTGCAATGTGTGTGTGAGGATTGCAGCCTGGGTGTGTGAAGGGTGCAGTATGCGTGTTTGGGGGTTGCAGTGTGTGTGTGTGAAGGGTGCAGTGTGTGTGTGTGTGTGGTGCAGTATGTGTATGTTTGAAGGGTGCAGTGTGTGTGAGGGGTGCAGAGTGTGTATTTGAGAGTGATGCGAGAAGATGATCCCTGCGGTCCTGTAAACTAGTCCCATGTCCTCCCCAATGCCTTTGGGCCAGTGAGGGAAATCTTTGATCTTACCACTGGCAGGTCATAGCACACAGCAGGGCCGCGCTTTGATAGTGCCAGCACTGCATTGGCCGGCAGGGGAGATCCTCTGATCTTCCCTGCCGGCCTTGGCGCCTGGTCATCGCAGCTCACCAGTCATTTGCCCTGTTTGCCTGATGGCCAGTCCGGCCCTGGTAGAACTCGCCTTAGAGGTTTTGCCTTAACATGGCAGGTGAGCTTACACTCAAGTGGCCACTGGAGTGATACTAAAAACCTGTGCGCAG